ATTTTCTGATCCATTTTTTTTTCTTGTATGAAAGAGGAGAGATATTTACTTAAGTTCCGCTTTTGTGAAAGGGGGTGACCTAATCATATAACTGATGAACAGTGGCACTGGGGAAAAAAAATCAGGAATTCAGCAGTATATTACTGCCTTAAAAATAATTGCAGCATTGGTCTCTAACATTTATTATGTCACAATTTGTGTATGGAACCAGAAACCTATATGAGACCAAAGAAGATGAACAAACACCCTTATAAATAATAATGTATCTTAATTTAATTTAATTCACCATCATGTTTTATGCCAATCAAGTGCATCTATTCACTTTCCAAATGGAGCATGAAAAAAATACAAACTACTCCAAAATAATACATTCCAATAGCACTCTAGAGAACATGAGGAAGGGCCTTGAAGGACAGTAGGGAAATCCATTACCATGGCAAAGATCAGGCAAACATGGCTTAGGTCCACTTCCAAGAAACTAACCTCCATAATTCCCCCAAAATTGGAGGGAGAAGCACATTCAGACTTGCAAGATTCTGTAACTATAGCTTTTATACTAAAGTAGTTTTAGACCTACATGGCATTGGTTTCTTAGTCTGATCTGTCACGTACAGCTGAAAGGAATAGTACTAGCACTACAGAAAGTTTTGGAATGTAGTCTTTCAGAGAGCTCTCAAAAAAGACAATTTCTGACTGAAAGAGTTTGTATTTATGATTAGTAATATTATCACCATCCTGAGACTTTGCTTTTTAAAAATGTTTTTATTGGAAGCATTCCTCTTCATTTTGGTTTTGTCTGAGCTGCACATTCTTTAAAATGTTTTTTTTAATCTTGTCTTCTTAATACACGTTATTAAATGATTAGGTAATATGTGATCTGTGACTTTATTCTTACTATATTTGAAAACCAAATGAGGTTGAGTCTCATTTATTTTATAGGAATTAGATAATTCAATTCCATTAGCTCAAACAGCCATCAGTGCCAGTTGGCACACATACAAAGAAAAAGTATAGAGAGTGAAATAGAAAGATAAATTGCCAGAATGAGTGTTTTGTTCTCATATACAACAACTTATTTTCATACTGAAAAATAAACAGTTGAGTTTAATATTTTCATATAATTGATCATGCAGTTCCTGTCACCTAAAATGAAACTTTAAATGTACTTTGTTTTGAAAAATTCCATGATGAAACAAATTTAAGCTTCATGCCAACTAAAATTAGACAATCCTAAAATTTCATTGAAATCACTGGACCTCTTTTCCTCATCATTTTAAGTCAAAAATACTGCAGTGCAATCATATGATGTCCACTCAAAAATCTCATCAGATCCAATGTGGCTAATGTGTATTGGGCTAAAGCTTTAACTGAATAAAGTCCTTGAACATACTTTCTTGAGAATCAGCCCCATTGATTGGAATGTTAAACATAGATATTTGGAAATAAATCCCATGAGTAGGCATATAAAAGATTGTTTGCCAGTGTTTAAATGTGAATTATAATATAATGGCAATTTAGGTTTTCTAATACTGCTTCAATTGATACTTTGGAATTTTTCTTTCTCTTTCATAAAGTCTGTGTTGGAAATTGCTCTCAGTGCCTTTTCAAAATTAATGCTACTTTACCTAAGAGCCAAATTTGCAAGGGTTAGTTATCCTTAATTGTTTAAAAATGAGTATATCTTTAAATCACTTTGGTTCAGCCTACCTTTAATTAATATCAAATGAAAAGAAAAAGAATGAAAGGAGTCCTAATTTTTCTGTGAACGTACATTTGCTAATGGCGTAGTGATGCCTTTTCTTCTATATTCAGACTAAATGAAAACGAAAACATTGAAATTGTTTGGCATTTCATTTTATGAAGAAATTACATGCAATAACATCTAAAATAGCAGTAATTCTGCAGAAACACTTTGCTTTAATGTAGATAATTCACAGCATGCACAATTGGTTTAAATTGGAGAACTTTGCAACCTTACTTATTTAATAGCATGCTTATTCACAACTGTCTTCGGACAAAGCAATTTGATTCAATTTGATTTTTAAAAATTAAGTATCAAGTTGGCATTCTCTTTGTGTTTCAGGCTTTGAAACAATTGTTGCTTGCAATATTCCCAGGAGGGGCCTTTTCCTTCTTTCATAGCTTTTTTGCTGCTTGCTGCTGATAATTCTCTTATATAGTCAGACTAACCTAAATATATATGTCGACAACATACATGATTTTATGCTATCCTGCTTGCTTTTATTGCTTCACTATATGACTAAGGAGAAGTGCTTGATTTTATTTTTTGGTGTGTTTATTCTGGGGCTTTGCTTGGAAATGAGTCATATTTATTTATATGTTTGTCATATTAATTGGCATTTTTATTGCTTTTAATTCTTTACAGGCCCTTAAGGATGATGATGCTGAAACTGGACTGACTGATGGAGAAGACAAAGAAGAAGCCAAAGAAGAGGAGAAATTAGGGAAAATCCAATATTCTTTGGATTATGACTTTCAGAACAATCAGGTTTGAAATAAATGTGATCTTAGTATTGTATGAATTAAAAATAAATGCATACATAACTTTCAATACGTTGTTGGACAGACAAGAGACTGAGCTATAGATTCAGTTGTTGCTTTGGTGAACCACTCTCCTGACTTCAGGTCACCATCAGTAAAGAGCCCAAACTATAAACAGTATGTGTGCACTTCTACATCTTTTAATGAAAAATATGTGTTGGAAAGAAACAGACAAGGAACCACATAGTTAATGTATTTTGCGTTCATAAGGCTGAAAAAGTAGGCAGTCTTCCATTTTCATGGTCTGCATAATTCTACCTAGGGCAAGATATCAGATTGGACAACCCTAATTTATTATACCTATTTTTGTCACAGATCTTTTATGAGAAATAATGAATAAAAAGCAATTATGAAACTACTAACTGGCCAGGAAATGCAATGTTAATTTCAAACATTCATTTCCAGAAAGGTTGCCATGTTAATCTGTTTATTTAACAACACACAAATGTTTAACCAGATAGGTAAGTATGGAAAAAAGGTGGTAGGAATTATTATTGCTATTACTGTTAATGTTTCATGCTCATTCACAATACAAGCATTAACAGATAATGAGTTTGTAAAGCAAGATAAATAGTGCTGGAAAACACTTTGAAAGAAATATAAAGAGGCAGATTGCAAGTTGCCCTCTGAATCTCTATTCAGGTCTGTTTAATGCTGGTGTTTCTTTTTCTGTCTTTTGAACATAAAGCACCCGTATAAAACCATTCATGATGAACTTGGAACATTAGAAGAGGTACCCAATCAGCTGTTTCATGATTGAAAAGCTACTTGGGGATGCAATCCATATATCAGGATTTGACCTCAATCCTTTTTGCTCTGTATTTTAAAAAACTTTTCAACACTCTCACCTTCTATTCTACTATATAAAAGAATCCACAGGTTTAAGAATAAAGAAGATTTTTCTCGTCTGTTTCCAAAGCAAACACCTCTATGACTATAATCTGCATTTTCAGGTCTTTAGTGACCACTTCATTTCAGCAGGATCTCTTGAAATCCACAGGACACTTCTTCAAAGAGTGAAGAAAATAGAATGAGTAAACTTTTTGTGAGAAATAGATTTTACCTTCCTCAGCAGATCAACAAAACTTGTAATGCCTTTTTTTTTAAGGAATATAATACTGGCTTTGCACAGTCATTTTAATGCTTATTTGCACTATTAAATATTAATCATGTTCCATATTTAATTAAAGGGATAAGGAACCTTTTAAAAAACTGTTTCTATTTTCTAGTCATTTTATGGTTCCGCTGAATGTTTAAAAGTTCCTTAGGATAGAGAAGATAATGCAGCAATGAAAAAAATATAGAGACATAACACCAAAAATTAGCTCGTTAGATTGTGAAGTTAGAAGTGGAAAGTTGACCAAATAACTCCTTAGCTTATAGTGACTCTACTTGAGATAATTATTTGAATGGGAATTGTGTGCCAAGGTCAATGTACTCATGATCTATGCTCAATCAGCAACTGAAGCATAATCATGATGGCCATGTCATTGCAGTGGCAAACAAACATAGCATCAGTGTTGTTCATAATTCCGTTGACGCTGACCATGAAGTTGCCCACTGATGTCACTCTGAAATTATACATGCCAAGAAGTAATTGCTGTATTATCATATGAAGTCACTCTACTCATCACCTGTGCAGTGGGCAATAAGTGACAAGTGACTTCTGTAGCTGTGAAGTCCAAGATCCCTAGAAGCAAGAACAATCAGTTACCAATAAGAACCCAAAAAACTATTATTCCATTGTAAGAGCCAGTAAGGTTCATGACTGGTTGGCTGAAAACAGATCTGGAGGAATTTATAAGAGAATGCATAGATTTTTTTAGATCTCGGTGTTATTAGGGCTTATGCAAAATAAATACATACATACATACATACATTCCCTTAAGAAATAGGACATGAGGTTCTATTAGATCTGCACTAAGGGTAGCTTACCTACCACAATGATTGAATACACAAATTGTGGTAAGCCAAAAACCAAATAAACTATCAGTATAACATATGAACCCAGCTAAAGATAATTATATAAATTATATAAAACTATATAATTATATAAAAGGTATATAAAAATGTAATTATTTGCCTCTCTGTGAACCAGGATAATTTATGACTCACTGCTAAGTAGGCAGTTGGCTAAATCACAGAATCCATTTTCATAAAAACGTGGTGCACAAAGTTGAATTATGTAATAAGTTGGAGTTGCAACTTGTCCTTTTAGATTTATATATAAGTATAAAAATAGTATGAAAAGAATTTTTCTAGAAGGTAGCTATTACTTGGATGTATGGATTTAGCTCTTTTTATGGCTTTGTTTTTAAGATAAAACATTGTAATTATGAAGAACAGTGAAATCTAACATGCATTGCTTATGAATTGTAAAAAAAATCTCTCCCTGCAAGTGTGCATGTGTATGTGTATGTATGTGTGGCAGAGAATAATATGTATCTGTAATTAAAACATTCTTAAACAATCATGGATACATGATTGCCAAAACTGTTTAAAACAATGAGGGGAAAATTGTCAGGGTGCTATTTGACATCATCAAAGAAAAAAATAAAAATCCACATACAGCTGTAATAAGCAGCATTTTAAATACCCATCGATTGTTTTGAAGCAGCTTCTTGAAGTTCCTGTTGGGGCTTGTTTTCCGCTGAAAGTACGTTTACTTTCACGGAGCTGTATACTATTTTTCTAATTCTTTACTTCTTAGAAGATTTCCAGAACTATAGTTACATACAGGTGGGCATTTGTAAATGTTTATAGCTAAGTTTTATATATGTTGAAAGCTGAGTTATTATTTCTGGGCTACTCTAACAAGTGATGAACAGTGATCACTGAATTAAAATTACACTGAAAAGGAACTTCAATTCAGAATTCATTGGAATAATAGGCAAACGGAAGACAAGTCAAAGAAAAACACTGGATACATCCATATATTGTAAATCCAGTAGGAAAGAATTATCCAGGTCACTCTCTTGGTTTGACATTTGTCCTTCCCTTTAAAATGTTAAAGCCTCAACCAGTTTCTTTTGTAAGTCCAGTGAAACATCCTTTTCTAAGTCATTCTCTTGGCCTGTCAGTTTAAATCCACTTTCAATACCATCTCTATCTTGCCAGCTAAAATTTGTTCTGCATCTGTCATTTCTTCAATAATATATTTTGAGCATAGTCTATCCATAAAAGCAGACATCATTACTGACATTGTTGATATTGTAGATACTGTTTTCTGATTCTATTCTTAAAAAGTCTCCTTCAGTATTTTCGTTGTTAGAATGTTTTGCAACATTTTACAGGTTTGTAAATCTTTTCTACACCTAAAAACTTTAGTCCCCTCTAGTGTCCTTGGTCTTTGCTGTGGTCATCAGCTCTCCTTTTGCAGAGCCATCTTCAGTTTGCCATACCTCCCCAGAAGTCACATTTCTTTGAGTAGTACTTCTTTGGATTGTCATTGGCTATTGGTTATATCCTAAGGTCTACTATTTAAAATGAACGCTATACTGATTGTTAGACCAAAATATTACTGATTAAAAAGTATGCTTCTTAGTTGCCTTTCCTGTATTTAGACTTTCCTAACCAAATCATAAATGTCAATTCCAGGTGTTTTGTTTTTGGAATCAAAAATGTCCTTATCAGATTGCCTATGCAACCACTGTACTTTTGACATGAAAACTTAGAAACTTTCTCTTTACAAATAAAACATGATTCTATAATATGGCAGAATACCAATTAAGCAAACACAAGTTTGTTATTAGCATATATGTATTGAATCTTATTTACACATTCAGAACTAATAAAAGCTAATCTTAAATTTCAAAATTACTAGAGATATGTCAATATGCTTTGTTTCTATAGTCTATTAAAAAGCTTCTCTATATTGCAGTACTGTATTACAACACAGCTATATGAGAAAGGTAATTAAATTACATTTTCATTTACATTAAATGTGCATATACACAAAGGTTATGTTAGCATTTACAATAATAACACAACCTTCATGTACATGCACATTTAACATATATGTCAGGTACATTGTTCATGATAGTATTTCTATCTGTTAACAAGTTCTGTGTCCTTGGGTAGTCAGATGGGGTACTGTAAATAAAGGTCAGTTTTATCATTTTAATTTATCATTTTAATAATGGGTAAATGCAGGTGCATCAACTTCACTCTTTCCTATTTCTAATACCTTCTCATAGTGTATAGAATTTCCATGATTTAATATCTATCAAACCTTTCCATTAACTTAATTTGCATGCCAAGTTTTATTCCTGCAATTCTGCCTCTTTCTGTTGAATAGCAAGAGAAGCCCAAGATGGATTCTTTAAAGTAAACTTTAGTTCAGACCGTGACTCCTTAAAGCAAGATCTTCCAGTCCATTTAGAGCAACCTTTGGTTGAAGTAATGTCTCCAAGTAGTTCTTCTTAGTCCAGATAGAGCCTGGGTCAGGCTGAGTCAGGCTCCCGTCCTCTAGTAACCCTTTTGTTCACCTATTCCTAAAGCATGAGTTTGGTTCAGGCTTCATCTGATCCAGACCTTAATAGGCCTTACTATTCTCACATGTTCCTTACTCAAAAAGCATCAGAAAATGAAAAGACTAGTATGTATGTCTTAATCCATGGACACGTCAGGAACAAGCTCTCCTTAAATATCTGTTTAAAATTCTGATCAACTCATTCTTTCCCTCTGTCTTGTCTCCTTTTCCAGCTTCTGGTAGGAATACTTCAAGCTGCTGAGCTGCCTGCTTTAGATATGGGTGGAACATCTGATCCATACGTGAAAGTTTTCCTGCTTCCCGATAAGAAAAAGAAATATGAAACAAAAGTTCACAGGAAGACCCTTAACCCTGTCTTCAATGAACAATTTACATTCAAGGTATTATAGTGTCCTTTCTTTTTCATGTGCTATGTGTACTAAAAATTAATCCTATGCTCAAAGAATTGCTTAAGTCCTAGTTAACTGTTAACACAATGGATTCTTTTTTTTCATTTGTAACTATTTCGGAGATTGCCTTCTTGTAAAAATATACTTAAAGACAAGCTGAATAATTCAACTGTACTGACAGACTGCTGCTGCTTTTTTTCTTTCCTTAATCTTATGTGGAATCTGATTTATGATTCTTATAAAAAACAACAATATACTGTGATGCTGTAGTACTGACTACTTGGATTTTATGGAAGCTGACCTGACTAGATAGGTTACAACTCACTGATTTCCTTTCTTAAATCTGCCTAGAAGGGATCTTAATGAATTCAACGAAAGAAAGAATTATTCAGTAATTCCCTATATTTTTCACTCCCAATGGTATGACTTGTACTGTTCCTTCTTATATAAAATAATACCTGGTTAAAGTTAATGTTATTATGTATATGTATTTATATTAGCATTTATGCATTTCATATACATTGTAGTAGTTAATTGGTGTTATCCCCATGTGAGATAATGGTTTCCTTAAGCCTCCTAGACCTTTCATGATGAAAATGAGATTCAAGCTGGAATTCATTGACTGGTAGCTCAGAATCATAATGATATTCACAGAAGATAGTGAGAAACCTTAAACCTAACATATTCTATGAAGGCTTGTAACTAGGTCATTGATAGGCCAGGAAAGCTGTCACATAATCTTAAAGAATATAATATTTCCAGTAGTGTAACAATGAATTCTTTATATACTTATCCAGAAATAAGTACAACTTTTAAAATGTACAGAATGTTAAAATTAAGAAAGAACAAATCAGGATTACCTCCCATGTTTTTGTGTGGGTAAGGAATCGTATTTTCCTTGGTCTTAAAATAATTTTAGAGGTATTACTAGGATGTGAAAGTATATGTTAGAAATGCTTTGCTGGGATGCTTCAAAATTTATGAAATTCACTTAATGTCTTCCAGACTTAGCCTTCTTTCGAGCACAATAACACAACCACATATGAACATATTTTTAAGGATTTTAGCCTGAAATGTTCACTGTACTTCAGCTGCTACAGACCTTGCCCTTTATATACTCAGTCTTACAAAGACAGCCCTGGTTTGAAAGCAGGGACAAATGAGGTTCAGGCTGTGTAATCATTCAACAAGAAGGTTGTCTCTAGAGACCTCTTCCACTGCTGCTGTTTTCTCTTGAAGATTTTGTAAAAATAATATTTCATTTTATGGGGCTGGAAGAGATGAGAAGAAGCTCTATACTGATTTTTTCCTTTAAGCATATTTAACTTGAAGCAGAAAAAAAAGGAAGTGACAGAACTAACAGCTCTGGTGTCTCAGCTTGATAGATGGCTAAATAAATCAAAACGTCCAGTCATTGCCTCTACAATTACCAAAGTTCACCAATGAATGCATATTTGCATCCATTTAAATGGCTCACGATACTACAAATATGAGCCTTGATGAAATATATCAAATGTGATTTTTGCACATGCAGCAACTTAAATGGGCCTAAATTGGGAGCAATTTTCCTTTACTTCAGCCAGGAAAAGCACAGCATACATTGACCATTCCCATTGATAAAAGAGACCAAGAAAGCAGTGCTTTCTGGAGTTCTATAGTGCCTTGGGTCATGTTCCTACATCTTTAGAATTCTTATTTTATTATCCAGAAGCCTCCCTCATTGCTTGTAAGTTCAGGAGGAGCATGTTCACACTAAATGTACCCTGTAGTCCATAAATGGAAAACTTCAAATAGTTCTGTGATACCACTAGAAGCTGAATATTGCTAGGCAGTTTCTGTGATTTCTGAGCTTTTCCCCAGGCTCTCCAAGAGAAAACTCAGGCATAAGACTTTTATATATGCATATTAACTATAGTATATTTTGTGTCAAATATACATTAAAATATCATACACAACCAGCTTATGAAAACTTAAGAGCAAATGACATCTCAACTAAAAAACTCTCACTTCGTTGACACTGTTGATGTCCTAGGCCTATTTTAATTTATTAGGAACAAGTGCATCACTGTGAATAATAATAATAACTTATTACTGTGAATCATCACTGTGAATTGCAGTTATAAAAGTTCAGTTATTGTGTTATCAGATCATCTCAACTAATATGATAGACCAGTTTTCCATAAAAGCTTGTACAAATGGAAAAGTTAGCACAACCATATGAGCAAGATGCATAAATGTGTTTTTAATATACAGTGAAGTCTTGGACTTTGATACAGCAATATGCCAAAACCAAATCTATGTGACAATTTACACCATTTGCATAATAATATAATTATGCAAATCAGTGCAGTGATGTACTTTCAGGCACATATTAATGACTACTGGACCTACCCCCATGAGTCCTTGTTTCACTGAATTTGCTTTTCTCAAAAAACAGATTTTTTTTCTATAAATCATCAGTGAAGTGAGAAAACTTAGCTTTGTTATCATTAAGCACAGCGCATGGCTAGAAACAAAGTTCATTATATAACTAAGTTATTCTACCGTCCTTCTGTAATATCAGCAAATACGTACATTAAGGTGCTGATGTTTTTCTTATTTATCTTAAATGGAAGTTTTAGCTGTTTCGTTTTTAAACCTGAGGATTTATTCACACATTATAAATAACAAACTTTACAAGAAGGGAGCCATTTTGAAAACAAATAAAAGCTAAATGTATGCAAAGAACATAGGCTGAAAGCTTTATTTAATTTTTTTTAAGAACTGAGTACAGTTAAAGGAAATGTTCATATTAATGTTCAATATAATCATTAAAAGTATCCATGCTTTGAGCACAGATCCAAACAGGTTTTGCTTACCATCTATAAAAGATGCATCAACTGTGTATCTTGTTCTGAATGTAATATGACTAATGACAACCCTTCTACCCTATAGCATAGAACAGCTGGAAATAAGCTAAAGTATGGCCTTCTGTTGCCAAAATTTACAGCAATATATCATGCCAAAGGGTAAGCCTCATCATTAGCAAGGTGAAAAGCAGAATTCTGAAAAGAAAAATAATAAAGTTACTTTTCAGAAAACTATCTAGTTTCTAATTATTCCATGCTAGACAGAGAAAAACAGTTCTGTGCTTTTCCATCATCCTATAACTTTTGGGAAGAGAGAAGTGACAGCATGATTTATTGAAAGGAACATCCTACAGTATTGAAAACTTATGTATCTGTGGGGCAGATAATTGGCCTTTGGCTTCATGATGGAGTCTAACTTTCAGAACTCCAGGCAAAACTTCCTGATTGATGAGTGAGCTACCACATTGTTCTAGTTATTGCTATATTGTGGCCATTAAAGAATGTTATCAAAGGCCTCTGAAAGAAAATGTGCCTTTTTTCTCCCTCTCAATTAAATGGGGATGACAGCTGATAAAGAAAAGGTTTTGAAATGCAGTTAAAGCGTATTTATTTTAAAGGCCTTATAACTGGCTATTTTTTCACCCTTTCTCTTTTTCTAATTTAGGTGCCGTATTCTGAACTGGGAGGAAAAACTTTAGTGATGGCAGTATATGACTTTGATCGCTTTTCTAAGCACGATATAATTGGAGAATACAAAGTTGCCATGAACACTGTAGATTTTGGTCATGTGACTGAAGAGTGGCGAGATTTGCAGAGTGCTGAAAAAGAAGAGGTAAGAGAATTATATCCATTGTTAGAATTCATTCAGCTTTATACTCACCTTCTATATTTCAGATTAATTTTAGGATATTTTTTTTTAAATGGAGAGACTCCATAGCACAAAACGAATCCATGACTGTACATGTTAGAAGGGCAAGAAGGACTAAAATGATTAACTAGGGAACATAACTGACAAGTCAAACTGAAATTTGCAGACTTCTAGCTGCAATACTCTGATCCTAAACATCATGGCTATATACAGAATATAAAACATCATGGCTATAATACCTGCATATCAGTTGAACACGGGATGTACACAGAATATGCATGCATTCAGGGAATCTACTTCTGGGATGGGAAGTCCTGCAAGTAATCTGATCCTGTGCCATGCAAGTCTTCAAAGGTGACAAGCAGCACCTTGACTTGTACCTGAAAGCCTACTGGAAGCTAGTGCAGCTTTCATAGCAGTGATATTATGTAGGTGTACCACATAATATCTACGCTTACAGCCACATTCTGCATTAGCTGCAGCTTCAAAATGAATTTTAAGGGCCGTGGGTAAGAGCGCATTGCAATAGACCAACTGAAAATGGAGAATGGCATATCCAGGGGACCTAGAACCTTCAGCTACTCAGATTTACTAAGGCTGAGTCAAAGTTTATTATTCCCCATCCAGACCCTCGGAGCTTCCAGGCACTGGATCAGAGATGTAGGAATGTCTTATATTTTCCTTTCATATAGTTCCCCATTTTCAAATTTACTTTGGGCTGTTTCTTTCTCTCTAGAATCCTCCACTTAAAACTACACTGCCCTTTCTTGGCATGTGGCTTAATAATAAGAGTGTTGCTTTGCATTGAGACTTTGCTTGATCCAATACTTGGCATCTCCCTTTAAAAGGATCTTGGGAGTCAGGCTAGGAATGCTGGTTGCTTGGAACTCTGGAAAGTTTTCAGTTATTGATGCAAGATAGCTACATAAAACCTCTATATGAACTAGGACAGTGTAATATAGATAATGTCTTAGGGCTCACTTGAGTTCAAATGAAGTTCTGTATGTGAACAAAATGATTGATTGATTGGCCAAATGATGATTCAGGTAAAAACAATATGGATTTTTTACAATATGACAGGTTCTATTAAATCAAGGAGACATCATCTTTTGCCTTTGTTTTCCCTTCTTCAGATCATACTTTGAGAGCATGATAGATGATGTAAAGAGTAAAGTTAACCAAAAAACATATTTATTATTGATATGTAGAGGTGCGATTTTTGCTTCAAATAGATGGCAAGTTGGAAACTGTTTCCCCAGTCTTTGAGTCTTTTGTCTATTTTTTTATGATATATGTACCAGTTTTCTGTCTTTTCATTCCAAGCAGAAGTCATCCTCAGGAACCAATACAGCTTTGAATATACTTAGGAAAATGGCCAAAAACAGCTCTGCAATCTTGATTATATGCTACAGGAACTTCTTTCTTGGGGCTTCATTTCCATATTTACCTGTGGCACATTGCAGTGATATAGATGAATCTGCCAAGGTTAAAATATAGGAGAAATATGGGTTGAAAAAAAAGTCTACCTTATGGTAACTAATGCAGTAAATAAACTAATGTTCCTCCTGAGATTCTAGGCTTAGATTAATGACAATATTCACTGGGAATGATGGGAGTTGAAGTCTGTCCCATGTGAATAATACATAATAGTTAAGATGATGTTAGAAAGGCTGATGTTTAGAAACCTATTAGCAAAGGATGCGAAAGGTTTTTTTTTAAGTTTTCTTTATATTCAAAATAAAAAGAATAAATAAACAGTATGTTAACTGCTTAATGAAGGTGGCAAAAGAGTAGCAAAGAAAAAGCAGAACTACTCAATTCCTGTTTTGGCTCATCTTCTCCAAAAGAGGATATACATTCCCCTGGAGAATTATAAAGAATGCAACTACAACTTCAGCTTGATTGAAATATAGTCAGGGAATATCTATTGAACATTTATATATTATATGTAAGGTAATATATAAATATTCAGGGCTAGATGAATTAATATTCTAGAGTACTGAAGGAAGAAATTTTTACTCAATGTTGACTTATCCATGTACTTATATACACAATTTTTAACATAGATTTAAATTGTACTAAACTGAAAAAATAATTTCATAATATATTTATATAATGTTTCCATTTGTAGGGAGATTTTTGTTATGTCTGTACTTTTGAAGAACCATTTCAAATGGTCCAGTTTCTACCTGTCTATGTCCATTGAGACTCCATAATCTCTGTAAGCAATTGGTTCCGCTGCCAAACTGTTCATACCATTAGGGCGGCTTTTCCTAATACTCAGCCAGAATATACTTTCTTGTAAAGTCATTCTTCAGTGGCCTGCAGTCTGGGGAAATAAATCTTGGTCTTTATGACAACCTTTCAGATATTAGAAGAATATATTCATATCACCCTTTAATCTTCTGTCTTCAAATTTAAACATATCCAGTTCCTTCCACTGTCTTCATAGGACTTAGTTTCTGATCAATTCATCTTGATTGTTGCCTTCTTTGAACTTGTTCCAGGAATTCTTATAAAATGTTCTACCCAAAACTGGATGCAGGATATTCAACAATTTTCTGGTTGAAAATTAGAAAAAGCACCCTAATGATAGGAGCAATTGGGCAGGGTGGCCAGTTGTTTAAAGAGGTGATGAGTTCTCCTTTACTATATGTAGTCAAGCAGCTGGACACTTATCTACCTGATCATTTAATTTAGATCTCTGTAGTGAGCAGGGGACTGCAATTCAACGGCCTGCATAGCCCTTCCAATTTTATGTTTCAATGATGGCCACTGGATTAGGGAAGGCCATCTTAGGTTGTCTATATTTGATATGAGGTACAGGCATTTTGTTGTGATTATTCTGTGTGAAATGGTTTTATGGAGATACACAGAAAGCTGGACCTGTTATGTTTACAGAATAAAATGTCATGGAGCTACTCAAATAAAACAGAGCAAAAATTCATGCAAAGATTGCTGAGGCCAGATGTGCATCAATGGGTATGTGTTTGGCTTGTTAGTGCTGAACAGCATGATACCACAACCTGGCCCACTAATTATTGTAAAAACATAATTAAAAACAACTTAAAACCATAAGCAACTGGATCCCATCCAAATTATACAACAAACGTAATTATGTTCCATTACTGCAAAGACATTTTATAACAGACTTCACTTCCTTTCTTTTTTTTTAATTACTGAATGTAATGTTTGTCATAAAAAGCCAAATTTACAGTCTGGTCATAATAATATACATTGTTATGGAGAATTTTCCCTTCTTTATTTTATCTTTTCACATAGAATTATAATAAGATTCAGTCACATAAAATGTCTTCTGGGCATATTTCATTTGTAACCTTAAGAGAAAAAGCTTTTGCACCCCCTATAATGGCAGTTTGGACACTTAATCACCTCTGATTACTTGATTTTCTTTCTTTCTTTCTTTCTTTCTTTCTTTCTTTCTTTCTTTCTTTCTTTCTTTCTTTCTTTCTTTCTTTCTTTCTTTCTTTCTTTCTGCAAATTCAGTTGCTGTACATAATAATATCTACTTTTTAAAAGATCTGACATGCTGTTGCCCTCTTCATTGATAAATTTACCCTGTTTTTCACTTTGCTTCCTAAAAGGGTCAGGAGTAAAATCAAAGGATGGTTTTTTGTTTTTTTTTTTTATAATGTTTTTTTTATTTTTACAACAAACACAAAACAAACATGAAC